AACTTGGTACAAATTGACGACCACTTGAGGAATGAGAGCCCTTGGTTAGCTTGATTAAGATTCAACCCATTTGGCTTCCGAGCCGTATGTGACGCCTCTTTCCACCGCACCATCTAAGCTCTCAAGGCAAATGAGGAATACCGAAACGTTCTTCTGAAACGCCTCTGTTTTTAGATTAAGCAGCAACATTTTACAGCAGGCTCTCAGAAATTAGTGGTAATAGAAACCAGTTAAAGTAAAGGGATCGGCTAAAATTGCTCGTCTCCACGTTTTTAGAGCAGTCAGGGCCCAAGGGGGCCAGTTCTTGGCTCTCCTTTTCTATACCGTAAAGTAACAATAAAATAATAAGATAGAAATCTCTTTGTCGTGCTCAGGTGAGATTGAGCTGGTGGATATTCGATCTCCTAGAGCTACTTACTGTTTCTACGCAAAACAACAGTAAAATATAATGGCAAGGCATAGTTCGAGGAATAGATTCTGGTACTAAAGCTCCATTAGGCCGATGTCAGACTTTGCGAATCGCGCGATTCGCTAGCGTCTGCGGTCGCGTCGCGGCCAGTGAATCACTCAATTGGCTGGTACCGCAACGCGACCGCGGACGCTAGCGAATCGCGCGATTCGCAAAGTCTGACATCGGCCTTACCCTACGCACAACGTGGCTCTGAAAGCGCCTCCGCTACTGGCTCTATGAAACATCAAGGATACACAGGAGCACTACAGTACTTACACGGTATTACGCTTTTCGGAAGACGTAGTTCTTCTGCAGAAGGAGAATTGTCATGACCTCCAGGGTGATCCCTGAAAGAAATCGATAAGGAACTTCAAGTATTTTTTTTGATTTTCCGGGAATTTTCTCGGGTTACTTCGAAAGACTTACTTTCCATTGTGTGAGGTGTCATAAGCATTTCGCACGAAGTGATAAGTGAGACCTATGGAGAGAGCGATTGCTAGAGCCATTGCTAATGAAGCGATGAGAAGGCTGATGGGCGTAAACCGTAACACTGTCCTTTTAGCCCATTGTGCTGTCATCTAAATGATCGTATAAGATGTGGTCAAAGTACGATTAAAAACGATAAAGCAATCGAGTGAGTCGCTACGCGGTACGACGCTCGATAATAAAAATAGGTGTTCACGAGTGATATGAAAAATGGTCCCTGAACAATCAGACGGTTCATGGCGAAAAAATATAGGAACGTTCAACATCAAATATGTTTGTGAGGAAAAAATGGATGTGAAGAAGGACGATTAAGTATGTGAAAAGTGTAGGAATGAACTCTGTAGCAGAACACGATCAATACGACACATTAACAAACGATACGGAGCTGGTTAGTCGAGCTGGAATCAAAACTCTTGTCAACTCATGAAGATGAAAGCGCGCACAGGCGATGGGAATATATGGCTTTTGTCGGCAGTTTAATAAGTCCCTAATCTCCTCATCTACTCCCTCGATACCGCTTTAAGTCATAATCGGGGATACGAGGGCAGTAGTTAGTGGTGTTAGCAGGTTTCATTATACCATATAACTCATAAAGGCTAAGCTATCACTAGGGCAACGTCTCAACCAAGAGAGTGAGAGTTGGGCCGGGAAGGAGAGATCTATGGCAAAATTCCTCTACGACTGGTTACCCTATCCCGCAACACGCTCACATCGCAGAGTAATTTTGGTCGGTGCCAACTCGGCTGATCGTTAGTATTAGCTTGGCGCCCTGAGGGTTTGGAGTAACCGAATCATTCAAGGAGTTGGACACTCACGCCAAATAAGTGCTGAATGTATGCAGCAACATGTCCGACTTTTTGATCCTAATCACGTTGAACTACTGCGAGGAATAGCTGTGAGATCCTCGATGGGTGTTAGTGTACATGTCGAGAATATTAACGAGGTGGGCACGTGGAAATGTATGTAAGCAACTAGTCAGAGATAAAGCAGTAAAGCCCACATAAACATGCTTGTATTGGGCAACTCGTTGAATGGCTGAATAAGAGAGGAATGAAGATAAACGAGTCTAAGCAAAAGCACAAATTTGATCAAAATAAGAGAGGCTGAAAAAAAGCGGCGTAAAATTTAAACAGGAATCAACGAATACCAAAGAAGATTGAAGAACGGGAAAGGTTCGAAGTACGGAAATGCGCAAAGCTGATATTGAAGTAGAATGTGCATCAAATAAAATACCCAATGGAAAATGAGCAGAATTAAATGATTTATTTTAAGGAAATATACAAAAAATACAGCAAAAGAAAGAGCGGAGACCATTCAGTGAAAATGCAATCTATAGTTGGAGTGTATAGAGAACATCATCTATGTTCGACTTTCGATGAATTCTAGCATAGCACTCGGCCTATATAATTCAAATACCCAAAAAACCCTATCCAATCAATTTACCTCAGAATGAGCTTGCTGGCAGATTGAGCGTTGTCAGTATAGCGCGTGCGTTTTTAAGTCTTGTCTATTTGTGTTATTGATAGTGCCTTTCTGTAAATATAAAAAATTGAAAATTGAAACCATTTATTTTTTTGGCAAATAAGTCGCTGTGAACAAAAATGTGTGCGTCTTCCCGCAAAAACAGAAGCAGGCAACTATGTAATTTTGGGGCACTTCAAACTTTGGCAAAGAAATAGTGGTTGAAGGAAGGAAGACCTGTGGAGCATTGCTGGTAAGAAAATATTGACCAAAAAAGCTTTATTGCTTCCTCCACCTGTAATTTAGTGTCGACAAGGAGAACGTACATATTGTCTTGTGTTTACAATCTATTCCAGGATGGTATTGACTTTCGGAGGCCAAAAAAGTAGACCGAAGCAGGCATGGACTCTGTACATCTATTCTAATACGCAAACTTCGCCAATCATCCGAAGTCTTACTACCTTATGTTTGCATCATTTTTGAAACCAATTCCGGGTCTTTTTGCCCGATTTCATTTGCAACTGGCCTAATAAACATTGAAAGGGAATAGCGTTAACATCTGCGACCATTATGAACGAGTAAGTGTCGTATGACATATGGGCTCGTGTTCAAAACCGCCTGTAGAATTGTGGACCTACTGTGGCTTGACCTTCTCTCCTTGAGCTACAGCTTTGTGATTGAAATCAATAGCTAACGAGTCGAAAGCACCAACACCTAATCTGACCCTGTAGCAGATTTAAAGCGAAGGCACCGTTTGCGATCAAATTATGTGCTTATTTTGCTCGGAAACGAAAGTGCAGATGCGAGGAGGACCGCCAGTGAGGAAAAAATGCAAAGGAAACGATCAAAAACACAAGAATTGAAGGCTTTGGAAGGGAATTGAAGGGAATTGAGGGCTCAGGGAGCACGACGTACAATAGAAAGAGAGAGAGGGAGAATAGACATGCCGTTTTGCACCGCACACAATATGAGCGAGCTAGACCAGTGGTAAGGCTTTAAACCTCTTACCGCGCAAATTTGAGCCGTAAGAATGACAGAACTTCTTCGCTTGCAGACTCTGCTACGGAATTCACATGAAAAACTGCTCCAATAAACTTTTGCGAGGTGTGTCTTCAATTGAACATTGCACGATTCAAGATAAAAAGGTGATTGTACGTGTACCATTCCACTGCAATCTTGAATCGTGATCGTCAAGTTAGCGTAAAAAAATTTATGGGCTGATTCCGCTTCGGAGGAATATTCAACATGACTTCTCCCTTCCCCTCAATGAACAAGGTATTCAATGCGAACGGTTGAAAGTGATTTACTTAGCACACTTTCTCCAAAAGTCCCAAGTGGGTTGCATGGGGGAACGTAGAATAGGTGGGGGGGAGGAGGAAGATCGGATGACTCAATCCGATTCTCACTGAAAAACTGCTGCTGGACTGATATGGTGACGCTTGCACTTTACCTTTACCACCATGGTTAACAACTTACGAACGGATGCTTATAAATTTGGTACCAAAATACACCCGACAGTATTTTCACAAGTGAACAATTTACTCAACTGTTAATAATAAGTTCACCTCAATTTCTCTGAAGCTGCACTATCATGATGCGTGAGGCCGATGTCAAACTTTGCGAATCGAGCGATCCGCTGTTGCGTTGCGGTACCAGCCAAGAAAGCGATTCGCTGACCGCGACGCTACCGCGGACGTTAAGCTGGTCTCAGAGTCCGCGATTCGTCGCGCGATTCGCACGAGCGGGAATTGCAGAAGTGCAAGTGCCCCGTTCAAGCATTTGAATCACTAAATATGAAATACTTAGAATTATAAACTGTCTTCA